GTCGTGGCGTTGTGGCGTAATCTGAGGCTGGGAAGGTAGGGACGTGGTAGAGGAGGGAAAGGGGCTTGCTCACCTCCAGCCCAAGAGGAGGGGGAGGGAGCCGTTCCCTGTGCGGTGGGTGGACGTGCTCGGGATGCGCCTCACGCCCCTCCCCCACCCCACCACCAGCCGTTTCCCCCCTCCTTGGGAAATCTGGGTTATTTTAATTTTATGGATGTGGATCCCTGCGCGAGTTGCTCGGGCTGTGAGCTTTTGACTTGAGTTCTAATATATCCGATTTAAAAAAAATGTATCTCCATGGTTGGTTTTGTAACCTTTCTTATGTGTGTCCATAGAAGTTAAATTTGCCGTTAGAAGCTTAGGAAGTTGGCTTTTGTGCAGGGCTGAGAACCCTAACATTATAGACGCTCAGTTAACGCCGAACTAATGAATTAGTCACTTAAAAATAATTCTACCCGTTAGATTTGGTAAGAAACCATGGGAATTAGGAAAGAATGAAGTTAAGGAGAAATCACTAACCGCGTCTTGGATGGTGAGCAAAGAAGCTCAGTCAGTGTTCGGCCAAAATAGGTAAGTGTTGCAAGAGGTATTCATTTTTAAAAATCTTATTTTGTGGTAGATTTACGAAAGACCAGCCATACAATTTATTAGACACCTGGAAAGCACTGTACCCGAAGTCTCAATCTTCAGCGAGTTCGCAGAATAAATGAAATGATCCAAGAAGGGTTTGTTTAGTAATTGTTAATAATGTTTAGTTCTTAAATAGGCATCCTATTCACACACAGTTTGATAGAAACTCAAGAAATATACATTGGTTGATTAATAGTTTTATTTCATCTTAATCACAAACTTTGGAATTTTCTTCTTTGGAAAATTGAGACCTGTAAACACTGCGAAATGTTCAAGATTTCTCAGCTGTGCTTGTTGATGTATTTAATTTTAAATTGTTTGCTTTATTTTTCTAAGCTTTATCTTTAGTCCATATTTTACCAGTGCTTTCAGGTCCAGGTAAATAAAACTTGAGGCATACATCAAACATTTTGTTAGATACTGAGTGATGACTTTCTGCCACTGGATTTATTTTTCTTTTGGATCTTTGAGAACTTTCCTGCCAAAGCTTAAGGTAGATTTGATGTGTATTGTTATAAATCACTTGTCAGGAAAACTTAATTTAGGAGATACAGATGCAGTCTCTTTTTTTCTCTTACAGTTTAATAATTTTTACAATTTACTCACCTTTATAATGTGGAAAACTACCAAATGTTCTCTACCTACATCAGAAGATTAAATGAGTATTGTTAAGTTGATAAGTAGAGTTGGAGGACACTTTTGAAATCACTAAGCATTTAACAAATTTTCCATAAATAGTTTGCTGTGCTGTTTTTGGGAGACAACTGACAGGGCCAAAAATGACATTTAAAGATTATTTAATAAGGCAACAATTCTATCTGGATGGTCTTCATTTTATTTGAAAGGTAGAGTTGATAGTCTTCCCTTCAAAACTGATTCCATATGCTGACTTTGTTTTGGTGATATTGTCATGTTTTACATTACCCAGACATAAACCTTGGTTTTATCTTTGACTTTCTCTATCCACATAAGTTAACATTGACCAATTTTTGTCGGCCATTTTCTGAAATTTCTTTCAGAAATCTGTTCCTTCCCACTGGCTTTTATTTTTTTTTGCAGGGGATGGGGGGATTTGCTTGTTTTAATTAATTAATTAATTAATGGAGGTGCTGGGGATTCAACCCAGGACCTCCTGCATGCTAAGCATGCACTCTACCACTTGAGCTATACGCTCCTCCCTCCCACTGGCTTTTAACTGGGTTTTCTGCCAATCTTTTCTCCCTACTCAGTATGCCC